AAAGCTCTCGAGATGTGCTATAAGAATATGCAATGAAAAATGGGGTGTTCCATTTAAAAAAATTAATGTGACCTTGACCTGACCTTCGCTACGCAACCCAAGGTCAAACTGATGTGATCAGTAAATGCATCTTTTCAAACGCCACAACTTTTGTCTGAAACATTTTTTTGTAAAACTTATATTTTTCCTGATATTCGGGCGTCCCGGTACTTTCCGAACACCCTGTATATATATATATATATATATATATTTATGTATTCCAATCAGAGAGACTGGTGTTATTAATATATCACTTTTCATCAGTTTGTATGTACATTAAAGTAATAAATATTCAGATATTATTATAAACAGCTATTTAATAATATCTCGGTTAGAAAAAAGAGAAAAATAATATAAAGTGTAATATAAAATAATATAAAAATAGTGATATAATATAATATAAATTATAAAAATAACTATAAAAATAACATAAAAGTAATACTAATAAAGTTAGTTATCTGAAGGAATAGTATAAGAGATAAATTTTAATTTTCGGAATGTGTGTAAGAGAGAGACGCACGAATATAATAATTTAATCGAATTTTATTTGCGACTAAGCAAATTTTTATTTGCGACGAAACAAATTTTTATTTGCGACGAAGCAAATTTTTATTACTGCAATCCATATATATTTTATAAGGATGAAAATGTTCGAAAAATAAACTAAAATAACATGAAAAATATAAACATTTAGAACACTGTGACTAAAATATTGTGCTCAATCAACACTCAGTTACTCAAATAACAATTCTCAAGTCTTTCAAGTGATAGTCACTGTGGAATTTTAACATATATTTCTAACGAACAAAAAGAAATCTTTATGTGCAAAATCAAACAAGAAGAATTTTACTTAAAAGGAATTCATATATTTAATAAATAACGTTAACAGCATGCATATATATCCCCTTAGAATTTCTCTCCATAAAATATTTTTTAATGCATTGGTTACGCGTAAATTAAAATAAGTTGCGCAACATTAATCATGACGAACGTATTATAAAATACGTAGATGTCGTATGGGTAGATAAAATAAAAGTTTGTGTAATTTGATCTGCTTCGAGTTATAAAAAGATGGGGAATATGATACTACTTCCGCCGCGAAATAAAGTTGCAGACTGAATCGTTGACCAGTCAGTTTTAGAACCGTACGTGTCCAGTGCAGTTCATCATCATGGCGCATAAGATTTCTATAAAGGTGTGTTTCGCTAATAAACGTTAAATCCTAACATTTTTCTCTTATTTTCTTTTTCTATTTTGTTAATTTAATTTTTGATTATTATAATATCTTAAACTATATATTTCTCGTATTGAAAATTGTATTTATTAGTATTTTTATTTTCAATTTCTTAGATTATTATCTTTAATTATTATTAATTCACTTTTAACTTTTTCACATAAACTCTTTATAATTGTGGCAAAATCTAACTAATTTTATTACAATAATATTTTTAATACGTTTACTTACAGGTTATGTTTCTTATTGCGGAATTATTACTTTTGTGCAATTTTTTAAAAACTTGTTCTGGCATACATCGTTTTCATATAGATGGTAAGTTCAATATCACATTTAAGATAATTGTATTATTAGGTATTGTATTTTCAGTAGTATATCAAAAGATGGTATCACTGATATATTTACTATTTATTTAATAAAACAATGCTTCTATATATACAGAGTGTCTCACACGCTCCTCTGAACATTTTGTAGGGACGTAGAATAGATTGATGTGAACATAAAAGTTGTACACCGTTTTGCGATATTCGCAATAATTATCGAGATATTAATTGTAGAAAATTTGTGAATGATCATGTAGGATCCGGTAAATGAGTTATAATAGCGACGACTGCCGTCGTGTACTTATACTTTAGGTCAAATTGAACAAAAAAGTCCTCTACCATTTTGCAAATAATTACATAGATTTTTAATTATTAATTAAAGAAGATGAGTGCGTTATCACGCAAAATTGTGCAATAATCTTCTTTAATTAATAATTAAAAATCTATGTGATTATTTGGAAAATGGAAAAGGACTTTCTTGTTCAATTTGACCTAAAATATAAGTACACGACGGTAGTCGTCGCTATTATAACTCATTTACCATATTCTGTACGATCAATCACAAGTTTTCTACAATTAATATCTCGATAATTATTGCGAATATCGCAAAATGATATAGGACTTTTATGTTCACATCAACCTATTCTACGTCCCCACAAAATTCTCGGAGAAGAGTGTGAAACACCCTGTATATCACCTAAATAATAAATAACACACACACACACACACACACACACACACACATATATATATATAGGGTGGGACAATAATTATTACCACCTTAAATATTTTCATATTTATTTAGTCCAGAGGAAAATTTATGTAAAAAACAAAATTTCCTCTGAACTATATATATACTTTAGTATAATATACATAAGATATAATATAGATATATCTTCCATTTATGTGGGCTCGAAACTGTACTACGTTTAACTTATTGTATGTGTCTATGTGTAAATAAATTTTTTATTACAATATATAATCAATTGTGTCAAATTGAAGATATTAATGTGTTAAAATTATTAATCAATTTCTAATTATTAATGTGCGACAAAATAATATGTTCCTTGTTACAAGAAGACGAGTATCCTTCCTTGTTTAAATGTTATAACGGTAAACGCATAAAGTCAATATTCAAATGTGACAAAGATAATGATTGTGGTGACAATTCTGATGAAAATGACTGTTACTCTAATGTAAGTATTCAGTTGTAAGAATACTATAGTATAACGATGTGTTTAACATGTTTAATTAACAATATTTTTATTAACATTTTATTTTACTAAATAGATGTATCATACAATACACACACGAAAGGCTTCTATTTCTTATATCAGTGTTCGGAATTATTTATATAAATGAGTCGAATTTCGAGGAGTACATTTTTACTTCCTGTTATTAACTTCGGTCCAGCTCGTCCGACGGCCCACGTAACTGCGGGTAATTAATAATCGCGACGCTCGGTCTCAGGACTGTTGACATTACGAGATCTGTGAAATACTTTCAACTATATTGAATAGACCTATTAGAAATAAGGAAAAGTATCAACGCCCGGACACCTAATACTGAACAATCTGTTTTGGTCTTTAAATACAAATATATAAACTTTTAACATAAAATTTTATGTACAAGTACTGAGTATGTAAATATATTCTATAATGAAAGCTTAAATATTCATATTTAAAAACCAAAACTATAAGAATGTCTAGGATTAGGTAAGTGTCCAGGAATTGATAAACATATTTACTTTACCACTTAAAAAAAAACGCAACTATAATAGTACTCCATAAGTGACGTGGAAATCTAGGTTAGATTGTAATTTTAATAATATATAAATATATATTGCTAGCGTATAAAAATATTATATGTAAAAGAGTTGTGCTCATAACAACTTTTCAGATATTAGGAAATGTCTTACAAACTTTGTCAACAATCCTGAGGTTGAACGCCGCGACTGTCTGTGCGTAGCCCGCCGGGTGAACTAGAATAATAAGGGCAAATAAGGAGGCATAGCCTTCGAAAATCAACTCATTTATATAAGTTATTCCAAGCAATATTTTATATAAATTAGTTCACATTAGTATTTTTCAGTCTTTGCTTATTTTAAGTTTATAAATTTCTTTAGTAAGCTAGTAGCTTTACGAAAGAAATTCGTAAACCTAAAATACTCATAAGTCTAAATCTCAAAACAAAAGCTACAGATACAGGTACCTACATTTTACGTAAGTCATATACACGTCTGTAATGTTCAGACGAATAATTAAGTGATTTCTTCACAGAACAGAAAATGCTCTAAAAATGATTTTCAATGCACAAATAAGAATTGCATATCAAGAGATAAATTCTGCGACGGATATCATGATTGTACGGACAACAGCGATGAATACAAAGGTTGCGAAGAAGACGTAAGTAATTACGAACTTTCTGTACTGATTTTCCGTGTGCTATTCGTGAACTGCTTCCGATGTTTTTCTGGTATAAAAATTAATTTGCATTTTGTTTATCATATTAGTTAAAATGCGAGGGTCAATTCCGATGTACCAATGGATATTGTATATCGAAAGAATGGGTTTGCGATGGCATAAAGGATTGCCTCGATGACAGTGACGAACTGAATTGTAATTTGTGTTTAAAAAATTTATTTTATAATAATAAGCAAAGGATATTATGACTTATTTTGGCAAGTTAGATTATAGTACATTTGATTTCCGTAAAGTATATTTTGTTCTTTTACAGGCATCGCGATAGGTTGCAAAACAGAAAATCATCGATATCAATGTGCAAATTTTAAATGTATTTCTCTTGATCTAGTATGCAATAACATAATCGATTGCACTGATGGATCGGACGAAGGTGGCGCTTGTAACAGTAAGTCGTATATTTCAGCGAATAAATTTTTTATTTATTACGTACAGTGAAGTTTTTGATGTACATCTAATAGAATTTTTAAGTGATTAGTTATAACATCATCATAATCTTTTTTCTATCAGGTACAATATCATGTTCATCGACGGGATGCAGTCACGATTGTATCGTTACACCTGACGGACCTGTTTGCATTTGTCCACAAGGTTACAAATTACAAGATAATCATACCTGTATAGGTAAATTCGTGGCAAATCAATATAACAAAGCGTAAGAATCGCAGCTCGTTTGCTTAACAAGCTGCTCTCCTTTCTTGCAGATATTGATGAGTGCGAAATTGACCGGATTTGTGATCAACAATGCTTGAATACCGAAGGATCATACAAATGTATCTGTCAGACAGGTTACACGTTACAAGATGACATGAAAACTTGCAAAGCCGATGGTAAATTAATCTACCGGTTCCACAGTAAATATACATATAACGAAAATACAAAATCTTTCTTTCGTACTTTAGGTGATGAAGCTGTAGTAATATTCGGTGCACAACAAAGAATTCGTGGTATATATCTCGATTCAAAAATAAGCTTTATCTTGGCGGAAAATTTAAATGAGGTTGCCAACTTGGTTGCTATGGACAACGAATACATATACTGGTCAGACGGAAATAAAAAAATCATGAAAGGTACCAAAAACGGAAAAAGAGAAATTATCCTTACAACAGGTAAATACTGTGATTAATAATATCTGTCTGTTACAATCATTGAGGACCAGAGACGAGAAATCAGAGAAAGAGAAACGGAAATAATGTTTTCATTTACACCATACCGGAAAATATTGTCCATTCTTACAATATAAAACAGTAATTAAATAAAAGGAAAGTCGCTAATTCACAGAATTAAAAAATAACGTGCTATTTATCAAGCGACTTTACAAGTTATTTATTTCAATAACGATTTAATAACAATGTTACCTTTTTTATTGATAATAGTAGCGGTAACACAATTAAATTTTTCGGATAACATATGAATATAGTGGTTAGTTTCATCGTTGCTTCAAACACATTGAATACATGTATATGGAAAAAATGGTCGGGAAAAAAAATTCTAAAAATAAATCTTGAAAATTTCTTGATAAAAGCAACGAAAATTGTAAATTATTATTTCTTGAATAATGATAATGATAACAAATTACATTTTTCAATGGATGACGACTAACAATAACAAATAATTTTTCAAAAGTAACTACCTCAATTCCGATGACTCATATGCAATGAGCAATATAAGATTACTATTACAGACTATTCGCAAACTAGTAACAGAACCAAACGCCGTATATATCATAGATTTCACATGTTTTTACACTCAACGCGAAACCAGTTACCTTCTTTTAATGTAACAAATAAAAAAACGAATAAAAAATATCTTTTCAAACTTTTATTAATGTAATATAAATAAAATAATACTTTCATTACTTATATTAGTGTAATATACTTTTATTAATTTAATAAATAAAGTAATACTCTTACTAGGAAAACCCTGTTAATATACTCTCCCATTTTTTTTTTTTTTTTTT